TGAGTAGGTAAATGCTTCCTCGTTGAAATCGCAGAAGAATATCTCACCAGAGGGCAAAGACGCGGGTGGGCTCACACTTCTCTTCACTGCGGGTTAGCCGTCCCTGCAATTCCTTACTGACAGAGGTTGCTGTGGCATTGTCTTTGGGCGAATTTACGGGAAGTCTGGGCAATCAATCTCTGACACAAACTGCGTCCAAATTGCCTATCCCCTTAAAATGCCATACATCATTCGGGGGTAGACAACAAAGTTCATCGTTTTACTTGTCTACATTCGCTCCCGTCTCACTCTCCCGACAGCTGAAACTACACTTATTATTATAACTTATATCAGCTCCAAATTTAATCAACTGTCCGTTTTTGCGTTTTCTTTATTTCTTTTTCTGTTTGTTAGTCTGAATAACTTCACTAATTATATCTATTATTATTCTTATCTCTTTTCTTTTGACGACGGCAACGGAAGACCGAACGGTGAAAGGATCAACTTCATTCACAGTAGTAACGATCTTAACACAACTAATTCTACAAACCACATATAATTAATCCCAGTACTACTCCTTTTGGAATCAACCAAAGCTACGACAATCGAGGGGCAGAACGAGCTACGCAGAAGTTTACTGAAGACCAGGAACCTATACCTCACAATCAAGAAACGAGAACAAAGAAATCAAATTGGTTTATACTAGCTCGTAAAAACGATACTGGATATTCTTACATAATAATATGCAGGAGTTTCAGCTGCTTCTGCACCTGCGGTTTTAATTAAGTAAAGTACCATATTCTCCTGATCTCCAGTATTTCGAATCAGAATACATCAAATACATCAAAAGTGTTACTGGCTTCTCAAGTCCTTTCTATAGGGAGGGCCTGTAACATACGTGTTAAGCCAGACAGGCCGTGGAAGGAAAGACAAATGGCGAGGGAGTCGCCAGAGCTCATTCCTTCTGCCTCCATGGTTGTGCATGGCATTCCCGAACTGGTAACTGGGAACGCCTGCGAAAAGCATTGTCATGATGTACAACAATGGAGATGGTTAGCATCCCAGATGGCCCTGGGAAGTTCAGGGGCTGTCTCTATTTATAGACTGCCTCGACCCACTCATCTTATGTCAATTAACTCGCCACGTCTGTTAGCTGTCAAGTTCAGCTCCCAAGACCAGTTGAATACCGCTCTCCATAGATGGTACGAGACCAAGGACAAGGTCAGCAAACACATTCGCTGCTGCGAGAGCCGGCCTCGCACTCAAAGGAGAGAACAAAGCGTAGTAAAAGAAAATCCTCAACCCCTAGTCACACTACAGCGGTGCAGCACGGACGATGATAGCCAGTGTCATCCGAGTGCTCCAACTGAACTAGAAGAAAAAAACGCCAACAGGCCGGTTCCTGGGGAATCGGCCAACTAGTTCGTAGGATAACTCCTCAACCGATAGCCAATATCAAGTCAACTACCCCCCAATACGGGGAAGTGGTGAGACTGACTACCAGTTGCCTGTATAGTAATGTGAGAGGGCTAAGAGGCAAAATAGCTGAACTTAGACACCTACAATCACAACTGAACTCCAAAATCATAATACTGACGGAAACCTGGCTAACCCCTACGGTGGCAGACAGCGAAGTCAGTATAAATGATATGGTCCTAGTCAGGCGAGATAGGGACCTGAAAGAAGGAGGTGGAGTCGCCATATACGTCGACAAACAGCTCAGATGTGTTCACGCGATGGACCCTCCCCTCACAGAGCTCCCTGACTCCATATGGTGCCACTTCACCGTTGGGTACTGCAAATATCTAGTGGGCAGCATTTATCGATCACCTTCATGTGGAGCAGACCACAACCAGGTACTGCTAAATACAATCTCAGCAACTCAAGACATGGGTTATGATCAAATTGTCATAGCTGGTGACTTCAATGCCCCATCTCTTAACTTGGTGTCGGGAAAAGCCCATGATAGATTTGATCGAAATCTGCTGCATACCATCAGGAAGGCTGGATTCACTGAAAATGTCAAGATGGATACTAGATGGGGCCCTGATGGGAAGTCTTCTAGACTGGATTACGTGCTCACTAGTGACCAGCTACTAGTGGAAAACGTTCAGATCACGACTCCCATAGGTAGTAGTGACCACGCGGTCATAGTATTCGACATAGTCCTCCGCGAGCGCTTACAGTGGGACAATACACAGCCCTATCTGTGTTATAACAAAGCCAACTACACCAAAATGCGAAGACTTCTGTCTGAAGCAAACTGGCCTAAAAAATGGACAGAGCTAACAGTAGAAGAACACTGGAGAGTGGTAAAGGAGATCATTCACCAGGCGGTCTCAGACACTGTTCCTTTAGTCTCACCAAAAGCTAGGAAGCAACGATCATGGCTGAAAAGGGGACACAACGCCTTCTGCAGGCAAAGCGAAAAGCCTGGTTCGCGTGGCGACGATCGAAGAGTCAACCCGAATATGAAGTGTACCTTGAACTCAGGAATCGATGTAACATACGAGTCCGGAGCGATAGAAGGACATTTCAGGGAGACCTCGCCAATAAGCTTCTCGTGAACCCCAAAAGCCTATACAGGTTTATGGCCGAAAGAAAACCGACCAACCAGGGAGCATGCAATCTAGTGGGTTCTGATGGGAAATCTCTTACTAGTCTTGAAATGGCAGAGACATTCAGCCTAGCCTTTCACAGGCAACTAAATAGTAACGAGGATATTACCCCTACAGAACATCCAGATTACATCGCAAAACCAACACACGAAAACCTGCTGGGGACATTTCAAATTACCCCGGCTATGGTACTTGCAAAATTGGGAAGGTTGGCTTCGGGAAAGTCTCCAGGTTGTGATGGCATCAGACCATCTGTCCTGAAGCAGTGTTCAGAAAGTCTCTGTCAACCCCTAAGTGATCTGTTCCAACACTCCCTTGATGTAGGGAAACTTCCATGTGAATGGAAACGTGCAATCCTATCCCCTATCTTCAAGGGTGGTGACCGGCAGAATGTGACCAGTTACAGACCAGTTGCTCTACTTCCAGTGGTATCGAAGATATTGGAAAGTCTCATTGACGACCACATGAGAAAATACTTCGATGGGACTAACCTTCTTCACGAAGCACAGCACGGTTTCAGGAGGGGAAGATCCTGCGTGACGAATCTTCTACTAGCCTGGAACGATTGGACACTATCCTGGGACAAAAAGGTACCAGCCCACGTGATCTTTCTCGACTTTGCGAAAGCATTCGACACAGTTCACCATGGTCTGCTCCTTCACAAAATAGGCAAGGCGGGAGTTTCTGGAGCACTTCTCGCATGGCTGACAGATTACTTAGGCGAGAGAGAATTCTGCACCAAAGTCAACCGCATCCGATCATCCTGGCACACCTCGGCATCAGGGGTTCCTCAGGGTTCTATCCTAGGGCCGTTGATGTTTTTGATTTTTATCAATGACCTGCCCCCCCAACTAAACTGCTCTGCGCTTCTTTACGCTGACGACGTAAAGATTTGGAGAGCAATAAACTCATCGGAAGACTCAGATAGATTGCAGGCTGACCTGCAAACTCTGGGAAATTGGGCTTTGGCTAACGGAATGCCTTTCAATCTAAAGAAGTGCAAAGTAGTGCAGCTTCATTCCGGCAGGTCACAGAGTGTAAATTACACCCTTGGTGGCCAGAACTTGAGTTGTGTTCCATCAGAGCGTGATCTAGGTCTTATTCTAACAGAAAAGCTAGACACCAGTGGAAATTACTCGAGGGACGTCGCCAAAGCCTACGCAACATTACACTTTATGCACAGGCAGCTGGGAGCTCTCACTCCCGAACTGTTCTTAAGGCTATACAAGGCATATGTGAGGCCACACCTTGAGGTGCATAATATCATTGCACCTCCGCTACTCAAAAGGGATGCTAACATTCTAGAAAGTGTCCAGAGACGAGCGACAAAATGGGTGATCGGCCTCCGCAACAAATCATATGAGGAAAGACTAAAGAAATTAGGTCTTTTCACACTTAGTTACCGTAGGCACAGGGGAGACCTCATCACCGTCTACAAGATCCTAAATGACCAGGCCCACCCAAATAAAAGCATCCTGCCATTAAGCGATTATAGGCTTCCACGAGGTAACCCGCTAAGGATAGCACACCAGAGACCAAAGACTCGAGTGCGATCACATTTCTTTTCGCTTCGTGTTTGCCGTCTCTGGAACGCTTTACCGGCGGCCGTGACTACAGCGCCATCTCTGGAGATTTTTAAGCGGAAGCTAGACAATCATGCAGAAATGCAAGGTTTGTGTCTCAATGGCTTATCCTCATAAAATTTGAAACCAAACTGTCAATGAATAAGCGTACAAACTAAATCCCCACGACCTATTCTGCCTTCTCTCACTCTATCTTTTCCTTAGGTCACCTTTATTATTCCACTTATCTCAACCTATATTATCTACACTACAACCTATTATTATTATTATTACTATTCTGCTTTTATGACTACACCGAATGACCAAGGGGAGTTAGGTCAAACTCCATTCACGGCAGCAATACAGTCCTAACATACTGCATACTACAAACCACATCTCGACCAATCCCCGCACCACTCCTCCTGGAGTCTACCAGAGCTAAAGCAGTCGAGTGTCGGGACTTACTACGCAGAAGCTCACCGAAGATCTGGAACCTCTACCTCACAATCAAGAAGCGAGCTCAAAGAAATCACTGGTTTATACTAGCTCGTAATCAGGATATTGGATATTGGAACTACCTTTTACGTATCACTGGGAGGAAAGTATCGAAAATTTTAAAGATTCACCTAACCTTATAACAAATATGTTAAGCATTGTTAATTGAGTAAGGATTTTAGCTTTTTAGTTTGTTGGCGTGAAGGTCACAGCATCGTCACTTGAATGAACCAAATTTCAAGGCGGTTCACACATCAGCAAGGTTCGTGGGGTACGGTATCACTTCATATCGTGCATATAGATTCTTTCCAAACAGCAAAACCCACTCTGAATTCTCGTTCTACCAATGACAGTTCAGCGAAGAGTGAATAACTGCGGACAAAATGGCATTCAGGTCAAATCAGACCTAATAACTATACAAAAGCTAGAACGTGACCAGCTCCTATTTTGGAGATCGCCTTTTCTTACCTTGTACTACTTCTTCATGGAATGTGTATTTAGATTTGCACAGCTTCGTTTTGCTGTATATAGAAACAAAAACAAATGTGTCGTAGCTGCTTTTATAGTCTTTGTCTTGGTTTTTCTTGATTATTCAGATGGCCCTCATTCTAAAGTAAGCTACCTTTGGTTCAGTAATTGGCAGGTATTTGATCACATTAAGTCTACCGCTTTATGGTGGTCATGGTGGGTTTGGCTAGGATTCCTATCTTCATGTGGGTTCGGTACCGGGTTACATACTTTTGTGTTGTATCTAGTAATTTGTCTAGAACGCCCTAACAATATTTGCAGGGTCCGTTTATAGCTGAAGTTACAATGAGTGCTTATGAATGTGGAACACTCAATTTTCCTCGTCCACCATATCCTGATAGGATTATTTGTCCAGATAACCCTGATTTAGGGGAAAGCATCAATTTTTGGAAAGTCATGCGCAAAGTCCAGATGGAGTCTATCATGTGGGTAGGTTCACTTTTTTGTATTTTAATCTAATCATAGTATTTGTAAATATTTATGTGTTTTGTCACGCTGTTTGGATGTATCTCGTATTAGATCTGTTCATTTCCTTAAAATCATAGTACCTAATATTAGGTTTGTAATGGCTAAATAACTAATTCATCCTCAAAGATTTCTACGTAGCCCTGCATTATTGGTCTCTATATTTTGTGATGTAAGGGTTGTGTTAGATTGTAAATATGGCGGAAATGAACGTTATTTCATCAGTGACATAGAAACCTGTTTTGTTAATCTCTCTCAATAAGTCCTACTCACCCCTCGAACGTATTTGAGATCGCATCCGCCCATCATCAAAGAGTGTGATCATTGTATGGATTTTTATCGAGTATGAATCGATAAAGGGTCTTGAAACACTAAATGTTGCTATCAATGGTCTTATTCTCTCGCATCTGTAATTATAAAAAAACTAGTTGGAAGGATGCAGTACTGTTCCTTTTTCAGGTTGTATGTGTTCTTCAGTCTTCGTGCGTCACGGGCAAATGGTAGTAGGGTTGAGATTGTCCATGTTACTATTCGTCGTACAAATTTTTGTGATCGCTCACTGAGTGAGCAGGTGCCACTAGTTCTAGACATGATTGTCGGTCATAAAGCTCATATTAGATTATGAATTTGGCCCGTAGCTCATATGATATGGCAACTTGAACTGCCACACTTCTGTGCAGAGTTCTATATTGGAACTCGCTATTTAGTCATAGGAGCTAGTCATTGAGTCCCAGTTAACTTATCGAGCACTCAAGTCGTTCACTGTTAAAAGCATCCCTAGTGGCTCACACACAGGTGTTTTGATACAAAGTCATCAGCTTGGCCGGTGAGACTGCAATATATAATTTCGATCGTTGTAATGGCTGTATTTGGCCTGTTCTTGCAATATCCATTTCCCCAGGTATCAGTAGTGTGAGATTAATTCCATTTGATAGTCATGTTTCAATAATGATCATTGCATCTGACTGCAGTTCAGAAAATTTATTTATTCTGCAGACATTCATATAAGGCAGCTCGCGTTTGTATTCATTAGACGTAGGTCTCAGTAACAGTTTTTTTGAGACATCAACTCCTGGAGATCCACTATATTCAAGTTTATTTTCATCATAGCCACTGATTCTCTCACCTGTAATTGTGATGCATCATTGCCTGAGTAATTGTGAGGTTTGGTGGCGTGTTTGAATACAGCGGAGATCACCACTCATTGAGTGTCGTCATCTGGAAACACCGGCTTCGGTGGCTTGGACATGTGCTACGAATGTCATCCCAGAGGCTTCCGTACAGGTCTCTGTTCGCTAGCTCAGGGACGGGATGGAGAAGGCGGAGAGGTGGTCAGTCCATGACGTGGCGTCGTGAGATGAAGGATATTTGTGCTAGGTTAGCATCGGTTGGTGCGTCACGACTCCCTGGTTGGGGTCCGCGAGATAGCTCTAATCAATGCCTCGAAACGTTATCGGATATGGCCAAGAATCATAATCAATGGCGAACGTGTTGCAATTTCCTCCTTTCTTCCCTTCCGATGATAGTTAACGAATACTGTTTGAACTTGTTACACATGACTGTTTTCCTTCCAGATGAAGTTCTTTATCCGTTCTCTAATTATATTTTTACGTTTGATCTTTGTTTTATTATTATTGTGTGGCGCATCTTTCTTGGTGCCATATTATACCAAGTTTTTCTGCGTTTAAATAAAATAATAACAAAGTACATAAGTATGCGTTGGTTTTTTTTCGCCTAAGCAGGTCACATTCAGCTACCAGCCTCCTTTAGAGCTTTGCCTACCACTCTCACATTATAAGTATGATTCAGTAAAAGTGTAGAATGTAAAGCAAATATCTAAAACTTTTTACCAGCCTTATAGATGTAGTCCTTATCTTTAGTTATTCAGAGAGCTAATGTTTAGTTTTTTAAACTTCTACAGCGACTTCACCTTTCTCAACCTACATCAACCAGAAGTATGACCTCACTATGAAACCTGTGTCTTAATGAAAGTCGGCTACGCTGGGATAGCATTTGCACTCTCTTGTAAATCAGTAACTCAAATCAGTCAGTGCTACAATTAGTTTTCCTCGGAAAAGATAACTAGTGCAAAGTCTTGACTACGACACCAGTATGGCAGTTGCTGGTCCAAAACAGTTTACTTCTCTGATTAGCGCCCCTCACCTACGAAAAGATATTGTTTCGAATTAACCCAAGCACTGTAAACCCTAGTCTATAGTCCCACCAACGTTGTTTCTCCTCATTTTTTCTTTTTAAGCTTTTCTCTGTTTTAATGCCATTTGCTGTATGCTTTGTCTGTCTCTGTCTGTCTGGATTCAACATAGAACTTGGCACCGAAGTGCAGCAGTTCGAGTTGCCACGTTCCGAATAGCACACAGAGGTAGACAAGAAGATGAGCGAAGAGAATCAATAGAGTTTGACAGGTATAAGAGTGAAACAGAATGGGTAATAGTAGAGAGAAATATGAAAGATTACAGAGACTGAATACATCTGCGCCATTGACAACGATTTTGAGCCATGTCATCTATTGTCTCCAGCCATTGATTCCTAGAGTCCCGAGGGCCCCAACCCGGAAGTCTGCATCTCCCTACCTGACTCAGTTTAACAGTCAAGGATTTCATGGATTGATGCCATGCTTTTGTTTGGCCACCACTTACACTTTTCCAACCTGCACCTATATCAGCTAGTAATGCCCATCGGGGGAGGCGATGGTTAGGCATGCGCAGCACGTGACCCAGCCATCTCAATCTATGTAACTTTGTAGCCTCGTCGATTGATTTTCCCTCTTTGCCCAACACTCTGCGTCTAACGTCAACATTACTTACCTTATTAAACCACCTAACGTGAGAGAGAGATCGCAGACATCTATGATCGAAAGCGGTCAACCTTTTCATGTCTTCAACTCGTATTGGCCATGTTTCAGAGCCATAGAGAAGGACGGAGCGAACTGCTGAGCAGTACACACGTCCCTTGGTTGATAGCCGGATGTCACACCTACGCCAGAGATGGTGTAAGTCAGCGAAAGCAGCTCGAGCTTTTTGGATCCTTGCTGAGATTTCGTCGCCAATCAGTCCGTTGATACTGATACAACTTCCCAAATAGGTGAAGTGGTCAACATGTTCTATCACTTCACTTCCTGTCACTAAGCTAGGAGTTGACGTAGTCCAGTCCTGTAGCAGTATCTTACATTTCGCAATGGCGAATCGTATGTCAAACATACGAAGATTGCTGCTCAAGGTGTTCAGAAGACTCTGCATTTTGTCAGAATCCTCCCCTAACAGGACTATGTCATCTGCATATTCTAAGTCCATAAGACTGTTCCCTGGTAACAAGTCGATTCCTAAGTCGTTACGTTCAGTTAAGTATGCTTCCATTAGCATATCTATGATGAAGTTAAACAGAAATGGGGAAAGTGGACATCCCTGTCGGACACCACTGGTTGTTACCAATTCAGATGACAATTCCCCATAAGCCCTTACACGACTACGTGAGTTTGAATAGAGTGCCTTGATTAGTGCAATGTACTTTCTTGGCACTGTCTTCACAGTCAGACATTGCCATAGTACCTTTCGATCCACGGAGTCGAAGGCCACTTTCAAGTCAAGCAATATGGCAATTGTTGGACGCCGAAAAGTGTGTCTATGTTCTAGAATCTGTCGAAGAGTGAAGATATGATCTATGCACCCTCTACCTGGTCTAAAGCCTGCTTGATTTTCCCTCGTTTGTTCCTCTCGAGTTCTGCTTAGTCTACCCCAGTCTGATGGAACTGTCTCTGATTCCCAGACTTTGCCTAGTACCTCAGTTAACCTACAAACTAGTATGTCACCCCCATATTTAAACACTGGAATAATTCCGTAGGGTCCTGCCGCTTGGCCTCGTTTCGAATTACTGATAGCTTTTGTGACTTCACTTACAGACGGTGGACCAATGTCTATATCCCATTAGGGTGTGTGCTGGATGTCGGGGAGGTTCTGTGTGGCTGTAGGCAAGTTAAATCGTCCCTCAAAGTGTTCTTTCCGGCGTTCAAGGCGTCTATCCTGAGAGCTAATTATTGTGCCATTTTTCTCCGAGATTGTTTCACTTATGATTTGCCTTCTCCCACCCGTTTCCCTGATGAGTCTAAAGAGTTGCCTGGTGTTGCCTATCGCCAATGCTTTTTCCATCTCTTTCGCCTTTTTCACCCACCAGTGTTCACGGTCTTTGCGGAGACTTTTCGTAAGTTTCCTTTTGTGCAGCTTTCGCTCCTCATTGAATTCGGAGCTCGCCCGAATAAGTCTTCTAGCATCTATCACTTCGGATGAGGCGGTCGAAATCCAATGGTTTTTACTCACTATAAATTATTTAAATTAATCCCAGCGTGTTAAGAAAATCAAATCGGATATAATCCGAATAAATCTGCTGAAAATCTGTGGCTTACACGGCGAAACGTTCAGAAAAATCTTGTTTTGATTTTCTTAACACGCTGGGATTAATTTAAATAATTTATAATGAATCAATCTGACTCGGCGCTCAAATTATTCCAGGAAATTCGTAACAATTACGGTCTGGAAACCTATAATCTGGTTTTTACTCACCTTTGGATTTACCTTATTCACAGCTGTATCTACGGCTGCCTGAATATTCTTCCAAGCTTCTTCAGGGTGAGCACAGCTGTCGAACACATATGTGTTTAGCTAGTTCTTCCTCAAATACGGATTTCGTTTCCTGATCGAGCTGGGGACGTGATGGTTTTACCGCCAGCTGTTTCCTACGTCCGTTCAGTCGTAAGCACACACGAGCGCGGACCAGTGCGTGATCGGTATCTACACACGTGTTCCAGAAGGAGCGACAATCTCCTACCGACCCACGCCAACGATAGCTTATTGCTATGTGGTCTATTTGTGTCCAGCATTGGTTTGATGAAGGGGGTCTCCAAGTCAAACAGTGTCTCTCCTTGTGTTTGAAGTTAGTGCTTACAAGAAACAAATGATTATCTGAACAGAACTGTAGGAGACGGTCACCGTTGTCGGTTCGCTGGCACGGGACTCCATAAGTGCCACCAACATCCTTCTCAGATTGACACAATTTCCCTACTTGAGCATTAAAGTCACCAGCTAGAACGACTATATCTGAGCGTTTAGCCTTTCGCAGCAAATTAGACAGCCTTTGGTAGAACTCATCCTTCGTTTCATCCGAACTGCAGTCAGTGGGGGCGTAGGCGGAGATTACGAAAAGGCATCGGCGAGTGGTGCAGTCCTTTCTCCTTTTTACTGATCCGTTCAGACGGACAGCACACATTCGGCTATCTACCGGGATCCAGTCAAGTAATATCTTTTCTGCCCTAGTACTCAGAGCTATCCCTACGCCAGCTAATCCTCGTGAACTAGCTGTGGCATCTCCTGACAACCTTAAGGTGAATTTTGCAGATTCATCCTGTTGGCCAGGTGGGGTTAGGTGAATAACCACACTTGGGTCTTGTATGTATGTTTCTGAAACACAACATACATCAATGGCTTGGGACGCCAGAGTCTTGGCTAGTGATGCTTGTTGTCCTGTTTGGCAAAGTGTGCTAACATTAAATGTTCCTGTATGAAATTGGTGGCGTGGCTTTAGGAGACCATCGGTGGTGGTTTTTTGGCTTCCGTCGTTTTTAGTGGACACAGAGTGAAGAGGAAGTGAAGAGCTGTCAAGCAGAGGAGTTGCATCAGTGGAAGGAAGGCAAGATGATAGAGATGAAGATGAAGACAAAGATGAGTGAGGATTAGAGAGGTTTTGTATGCATTTCGGATTGTGAGGGCGTTTGTTACTTCCCGGCTGCCCACACCGTGGAAGTTGGTTGCGTGACCGCAGAGCCCAGGGGACAACTGCTTGAGGCTGGTCACATGCGGCCTGTTTTTGTTTGTTCTTTATTGTGTGATGTGTCTCAGTAGCATATTTATCATTTCTGCCCTGTGACACGGCAGCAGGAAGCGCGGTCGTTGTTAATCCGGGCCACGGCCGATCCGGCATGATATTTCGTGAATGTGTTTGAATCATGGTATTATATGGAGTAGCTGGTTTTTGTTTAACCGCTATCCAAACAACCTTTTTGGCATGGTAGGACGTCAAGAGACATAAGTTTCAGCCAGTATAGCTTGATTAGGTCATTGCGGTGTTCAGGCCTGACCACCACGTCAAGGAAGCAGCTTTCGGTCGGGTGTATGCTTTATACTGCTCAGATGTCGGTGAAATTAGAAATTACATAAATAAACTGTCCAGTTCTCGGAACTCTGATAAGTGAATTCATGTTACGTTCATTGCTTTACTGCAACTTGACAAAGTATTGTTCTTTGGAATTATGATGACCTGATGACTTGTGTCCAGTCAGTTGGAATTGTGCTGTAGAATTAAATTCCGTATCTTTATTAACTGTGAGAGCGGTTCTCGCTACATTAATTTAGCCGAGCGGATTTTCTAAATTAAATTATTCGGGCCCTTATTTTTACTGAAAATTGAGGAAATTTGTCAAATATGTGGGGCATTCACTCCTTAAATCTTCCTTTTACTATATTAATTTTGTACCATATGTTTGTATTTTTAACTTATAGTATATTTTGTAATTGATACATTTTTCAAGGGTTTTGGTACTGCACTGGGTGAACTGCCTCCATACTTCATGGCTCGAGGTGCTAGACTTTCCGGTGAATATGATGATGAGTTTTCTAAGTTGGAAGAAGTCATCTCATCCAATCAAAATACTCAAAGTACAACAGACCAACCGATTACTTTTCAAAGGAGAGCTGAACTATTCCTACATCATTTAATACTTAGAGCTGGTTTTATCGGGATTTTGCTTTGTGCCTCGGTAAGTTATTTTGCTTAGCTGTTTTACAGTGTTCACTTTCAAAATTTTCTTATGATTTCAGTAGCTCTTCGTGCAGGTTAGTTTACTTTGCAGGTTAGCGTGTCGCTTGTGGTTACCGCGTGACAGCAAGAAAGCCAGTGACATTTATTCGTATAGGTATCAACGCTGTCTACTATTGTTTCGTTTGGTGTACCACATTCGAAATTGAATATACAATTGTGGAAGTAAACTTACTACTACGTGACTATAAACTACAGTTTTAACTGAAAGTAGTGTTCAAACATGTTACTGCTTTTCAATAAAAACCTCTGGGGGATGGTAACAGTATAAAATGATTATTAAATATGCTATTCTGAACTTCATTCATTCAATTTAAAATTGAGGTGGCAGAACAAGGCTTATCACTGATGACTACGATATCATCTACATACCTTCTATAAAGTGGCACATTTTCGATTAAATCTTCCGATAAATTCTCAATGTACGACATATAAATATCTGTGAAAAGGGGCCCTAACGGACTACCCATAGCAACACCATCAACTTGGCGGAAACAGTCGCCTTCAAATGTAAACCTAACAATGTTAGTACATAGAAGTAATAAATCCTTTAAGTAAGATATAGGGAACGGGATGAAAAAATTGTTTGTGGAAATATAATCACACAAAATGTCAACTGTTTTGATCAAAGGCACATTAGTAAATAACGAGTTTACATCAAAAGAGTACATATTCTTGTTCATAATATTAATATTACTATCATCAAGAACATCAACCAATTCAAGTGTGTCTTTTAACACATACTTACAGAATTGTGTTTTGACTGGATTCAATAATCCCACTAACCATTTAGCAAGTTTATGCGTTGGGGATTTGCACATTGACAATATAGGACGTAGAGGATTATTGGGTTTATGTATTTTTGGCAACCCATACATATGTGGGAATTTACAATCTGATGGTTTTAATGGGTCAAGCTTATCTTTAATTATAGCATTTAGGCCATGAAGCTTCAGTAGATTAGCTGTCACTGTGCCCTGCAACGACTGAATATCTTCTGAGGAGGTATCATGGCTAATTTTGCTCTTATCATCAAGAATAGACATCATTTTAGATTTGTAGTCACTTTTATTCATAATGACGACTCCAGAACCTTTATCAGGTTTAGTAATAATTATATTAGAATTTTCCCGTAACTCTTTCAAGACTGTGAAATGCTGAGAAGGCGAATGTTTCCGCCAAGTTGATGGTGTTGTTATCGGCAGTCCGTTAGGGCCCCTTTTAGCAGATATTTATATGTCGTACATTGAGAATTTATCGGAAGATTATTAAATATGTTAACTGGAGCGTTCGTCATTTCGTATTACTTAAGGGAGTATAAGTAGGAAGACATCTGCAGATGACTAGACGCCGGCTATGATTGTGACCCACATCTCATGGCATCTTGCGCAGTTGACCCAATTGATCTTTCGAACCCCAATCAGGTTGTTGTAGTTCACCAACAGTTGCCGACTAGATACGACTGTATTTCATCTGATGATGCCTTGTCATATAGCAATTCACTTTTCCGTTTATTTCAACTTGTCCCAGAGCCAGCAGACGATGGGTGAAAATCACTAAGATGACATTTGTGAAACGTATTGAAGACTCCAAAACCGATACCTCAAAATACCTTCAAAGTAAGAAGTATAACTATTCTTTCTTTCTTTCTTTAGTTCGGCTATCTCCTACGGAGGATGAACCGGCTTCATGAACATCTCGAATGTTTGTAAGAGAGTTGATGAAGTTTCATGGGAATTGGGTACGAGTGATGTCCCCAGCATCGCTCGGTATAAGTATAACTATTGCTGGACTGCGATACCTGTTTCAGTATTTCTAACAACTGGTTGTAGGAAAACACTTCACTGTCGCATCTGCGTACTGAACAAAATTTGCCTGGTCCTGTGCGAATTATATTTTCATGTAAAGTCTGCGAAGCTTAGCAATAGCTGTTTTTTGAAACAACCGGTAATAACTGGTACTCATATGGTTGTCACATGCATTGTAAAAACAATTTTTAAAGTCAAGCGCTATAATGGCTTCGTTCTGCGTTAGTAGGATAATGAGCCACATCTTTTCAAAAGCTTCACCAGAGTTTTTCACCAATTTTTATAGGAGATGAAAGTACGTTGTCCATGTGTGAGCCAACATTTCGGCGTTTTCAATTCAGGAAGTCCCTTTTGGACGACATATTTTTAATTCAGATTGGTTTTAGTGAAACAGCAATGATGTACTTTATGATACTGAACAGTGAAATTTTAAGATGGCGAAACATCTTGCGTTCTAGGCATTTTAATCTGCAAAGGGCTGCTGAAGGCTGTCTCGATATTCTGTCTTATGCTCATCAAGTCCCCACTGACTCATCCAACCTGTGTATATAAGGACCTATATAGCTATCTGACTGACTGGTTTCAACATAGAACTTTGCACCACTGTGCAGCAGTTAAGGAGTCACACTCCATGTAGCACACAAAGCAAGAGAAGAAAGTAAAATGGAATGCAAAATAGAGGCGGTAAACAGAGATATGAGACAAAAAGAACAGTAATAACGAAGAACAGTATAGTTTCATTGGGCATTATAAGTCACAAAGAGTGAATGCATCATCTGCGCTATTCATTGAGAACGATTTTGAGCCATATTACCGATTGTCTCCAACCATTGGTTCTTACCATCTCGAGGACCCCAACCAAGAAGTCTACACCTCCCTACGTGACTGGCTGGCTTAAACTAAGTGTTGTGGATTTCATTGACTGATTCATTATGGATAAGATTTTATTTTGATGAATCACACAGTGTTATACAGTAATAGCAGTTAATATTACTGCATAACACTGTGTGATTTATCAAAATAAAATCTTATCCATAGTGGAGTTATACTCTACCACAGTGCCCAAGTTTTATACTTATATCAATAATTCATTGACTGATGCCATGTTTTCGTTTGACCACCACCAGCTCTTTTCCAACCTGATCCATCCTATGTCAGCTAACATCTCCCGTCGAGGAAAGCGATGGCTAGACATACGTAACACACGCCCCAGCAATCTCAATCGATGTACCTTCACAACCTCGTTGGTTCATTTCCCCTCCTTACCTAGCACTCGACCGATGCCCAGCCTCGATATTCCTCATCCTATTATACCACCTAACATGGGAATTGGACACAGACACTTATGATCAAAGACAGCTAGCCTTTCCATATCTTCCACTTTCAATGGCCTTGGAGCCAACTGCTGAGCAGTGTACACGTCTTGTGGTCGACAGCCGGATATGACGTCTGCGCCAGGAGTGGGTAAGTTGGCAGACAAATACCAAACGAGCCATCTGTCTCCGTGATGCGATGTCGTCAGTGATCAACGCGCTGAGAATAGGTGAAGCAACTTCCGAGAAAAATGAAGTGGTCAACACACTCTTACCACTTGAATCCTGCCTATCTTTAAGTTAGGAGTTATTGTAGTGCAGTCCTTCAGCATCATCTTACATTTTACAGTAGGAGCGAATCTCATACCAAACACTGGAGAAGATAGCTGCCTGTCAAGGTGTTCAGAGGCCCCTACATTTTGCCAGCGTCTCACCTCAGGTATGATGATTATATCATCTGCATATTCTAAGTCGATGAGATTATTCCCTGGTGGTAACAAGTCAATCCCTGAGTCTCTGAAGTGAGTTAGGGTTAAGTCTATTGGTACACCTATTGTGAAATTATTCAGAAATGGGGACACTGGGAATCCTTGACGGAAACCACTGGTTGTCATCACAGTTGTCAACTCTCCGTAGGCTCTCACCTGGCTGCATGAGTTAAAGAAGAGTGCCTTGATCAGTGCGATATGTTTTCTCGAAATTCCCATAGTACATATCGGTCGACGGAATCGAATGGCGCCTTTAGGTCAAGAAATATAACGATTGTTGGACGCCGGTAAGTATGTCTATGTCCCAGAATCTGTTTAAGGGCGAATATATGTTCGATACACCTCCTTCCTGGTCTAAAGCCTGCCTGGTTCTCTCGTGTTTGTTTCTCCCTGAGCACCGCTTTGTCTACACATCATTATTGAGCCTAGAACTTTAGATACCATATTAGTCAAGGTAATCCCCTTGTGATTATCACAGGAAGACTTGTCTCCCGTTTTGTGTATCGGGATAATCAATGACTTTACACCAGCCCGACTGGACTTCTTATGATTCCCAGACGCTGCCTAGTACCTCAGTTAATGCAGACAGTAAACTGTCTCCACCGCACTTAAATACCTTTGGAGTAATTTAATCAGGTCCTGCTGCTTTGCCTTGTTTCAGACTAGTGACAGAGAGATAGCATTGGATATCTGTCAAGGAAACTCGGTTGATCTCACTCAGTTTTACAGAAGTTATATTTAATTATATACTAGCCTAAGTAAGCCGATAGATATAATACTTACTTAAGTTTTCTTGATTGAAAGCGTCCATGAGACCTTATCACAGTTCATAGTTCATGCAGAGAACTGCCGTGAGTCTTTATAATTTTGCAAAGCAAACATGTTTACACAGCCTAAAGCTGTAACTTGTGGTTCATATCATTTTTAATAATAATAATATTCTAAAAACAGTACTTATAATACAAAATGGATTTTTCAGCATTAGTCACAATATTGCATCTGATTTACTTTAAATAAAATTAAAAATTAAAACAAAATTAGCCAGAGGAGTTTGTTCATGTTTACGATATAAAGTCAAAAATATTCGAAGCACGAAGTGAGAATATTAAATATATTAATAATTATTATTATAGTAATAACTATAATTATAATAACAGTGAGTATGTTTCAAACAGTATTGTCCATTCAGTTTGGAAATTTTAGCATGCTATAGATTATTGAATCTAATGTTCTGTTGATATAGTATAGTGAGGGGAAATGCAAAATTAACACTTATAACTCAGCTTAAGTTATGTTAAATTATGAAGAAAATAAAATTTAAGAAGTACAATAGCAATGAGGGTTGATGTTGTAAGGGGGGAGGAAATGCTTTATTACGTGGTGCAAAGAAGGTTAGTTAGGTCATAGTTAACACTACTCTCATCACGTACGCGGCAAAATGGTATAGTGGTATATTTCTAATTAGACGTACGTGCATAAATTCTTCTGAAAAGACTTGTTGATTTACCTGAGGAGACGCTAAGTTGGAGCCGCGGGTAAAGTGGGTGCTCACAGTCTGACAACATTTCTTCAAGGAATTTGTCGCATGACATCAAGTACCTGTCAGTGACAATGTCAACGATATGGCCCAATGGGATACCACTCACCTAACTGACAGTCTTCAGAGTTCGACGGAGTACGCCATAGACTTTTTAAGCAATCCAGGCAAAGCGAAGCAGCGGGACCTGATTAAATGACTTCAGAGGTATTTAAGTACGGTGGAGACAGTTTACTGTCTGCACTAACTGAGGTTCTAGGCAGCATCTGGGAATCATAAGAAGTCCCATCGAGTTGGTGTAAGTCACAGATTATCCCCATATACAAGAAGGGAGACAAGTCTTCCTGTGATAATCACAGAGGGATTAGCTTGACTAATATAGTATCTTAAGTCCTAGGCTCAATAGTCATGCGTAGACTAAGTGGTGCTCGAAAGGCACAGACACGGGAGAGGCAGGCTTTAGACCAGGAAGAGAGTGTATTGATCATATCTTCACCCTTCGATGGATTCTAGAGTATAGGCATTCCTACCGGCGCCCAACAATCATTATATTCCTTGACCTAAAGGCAGAATTCGATTCTGTCGACCGAGAGGTTCTCTGGAGATGCTTGGCTGTAAAGGGAATGCCGAGAAAATATATTGCACTGATTAAGGCACTCTACTCGTACTCATACAGCCAGGTGAGGGCTTACGGTGAGTTGTCATCTGAACTGGTAACGACTAGTGGTGTCCGTCAAGGATGCCCATTATCCCCTTTTCTATTCAACTTCATCATAGATGTACTAATCGACTTAACCCTAACTCACTTCAGAGACTCAGGGATTGACTTGCTACCAGGGAATAGTCTTGTTGACTTAGAATATGCAGACGATATAGTCCTAGGCGAGGACGCTGACAAAATGCAGAGTCTTCTAAACACCTTGAGCTGCAATCTACGAATGTTTGGCATGCGATTTGCTCCTACTGTAAAATGTAAGATGATGTTACAGGACTGGACTACACCGACTCCTAGATTAAAAGTAGGAAGTGAAGTGGTAGAGCACATTGACCGCTTCACTTATTTTGGAAGTACCATCAGCCAATGCCAACGGGTTGATCTCTGACGAAATCTCAGCACGGATGCAGGGGGCTCGTTTCGCATTTGCCAGTTTACGCCGTCTCTGCCGTAGACGAGATGTTCGACAATCGACCAAAGGGCGGGTATACTGCTCATCAGTCCGCTTCGTCTTCCTTTATGGTTGTGAGACCTGGCCACTGAGAGTGGAAGACATGAAAATATTAGCTGTCTTTGATCAAAGGTGCCTGCACTCTATTTCCCGTGTAAAGTGGCATAATAAGGTGAGCAACATTGAAGTTAGGCGTCGAGTTCTAGGTAAACAGGGGAAAACAATCGACGAAGTCGTGAAGTTACAAAGACTGAGATGCTTAGGACATGTGTTACGTGTGCCAAGCCATCGCCTCCCTCGACGAGCGATGTTAGCGGATATAGGGTCAGGCTGGAAAAAAGCTAGCGGCGGTCAAACCAAAACATGGTACCAGTCAATGAAATCTACAACAGTTGGTCTAAGCCACGTAGGAAGGTGTAGACTTCCAGGCTGGGGTCCTCGGGACGGTAAAAATCAATGGTTGGATACAATTGGTGACATGGCTCAAAATCGTCATTTGAAATAACGGATTTTCTAAGACTGAGATTTTGTTGAATCCTCCAGTTATCCTCATATCATTTACCTATCCTGAAAGTAAGCTCCATTTTGGTAGTGATACAGTGAAAAGTGGTTTGAGGACGGAATGATTATCCCACATTGACTTTGCAATTCCTTTTATACCTTCCTTTATTTTTAAATTGGTACGACTTAAAGATCCTGTCGACATTGAGGGTATTTTCCTTTTAAGCAAATATGCTGGTAAAATACAACTTTTTGAACTCATTGCAAGAAAGCCGGTGTAGGTTTTGAACGCGATTTGCTGCTGTAGCACTCATATTATCCTACTGAACAGATCTGTCGACCACTTTTCTCATTTGAGAAGGTTCAACGTCCCCAATGGATTGGATGCTGGTGAAATCCAAGCATAAATACAAGGGCTGGTTGAACACTTGCCAACTCGTTTCTATGGTGCTTACGTAGTACCTAGGTAATGTGTACTGTATTGTATAGCAGTACACTATGTCCTCCCATGTAACTACAAGACATAGCCACCGATAGTAAAAGGTTAGAAATGACCGGAGTTTTGACCACAAGTGTTGAATAAATATGTCAAATTATGATGGGATTAAGCACAGTGTTACATAAGGAGGCTAATTCAGTGGATTAGTTTGTGGAACTTCATGGATTTAGTCGGCTAGGGGATGCGTCGTGTATTCCAAAGTACCAAAAAAGCTTTACATTTACCGTATTTGTTAGCTTGTCTCACAGTACACGTGCTTTATTTAAGATACACTTTATTTCTGGATACTTTTGAGATTGTTGTTGATTGTTTTTCGATAATCGTAGGAGCGGACGAATCCGTATACCTTTAATTAAACTAGATGCAAAGAGTGTTTAAGAAATTTCATAGAATCCTATGTTGTCACACTCATAAAACGTCGATCTAGTTGTTTCTGGAAATAATTTTTTCCTATATTTCATTAACTTCATTCTATCTGTGTTATTATAATTATAATTGAGTGTCGATCCAAATATACATAGCAAAATATAGCAGACATGTCAACAACCACCATATATGGATATATGTCACCAAGCGACGGACTGTCAACAAACACTCATATTATATTATATATAATATAAGGAGAATGTACATTGTTAAAGGAGACAGGTTCATCAAAGTGAAATGGTCACAGGCTAAGCGAGCAAACAGAAAGAGAGGTCATCATATATATATATATATATATATATATATATATATATATATATATATATATATATATATATGGATACATATCACCTCCTGAGCGAGTGTCCGATCCTTCTCCACTTTCTCCTGCATATTTGTTAGTTGGCGATTGGTTCTTGCTTTGTTTGTTCCCATAGTTCCTTGTTGGTGATTCTTTCCGGCCATCTGATCTTCAGTATAAAGCGAAGACAGTTGTGGATAAAGGTCTGCAACAGGCTGTTGGAAATATTCTTTGTGACTCGCCCGCCAAGTTTCTGATCCGTATAGAAGAACTGACTGACTTGACGTTTGTATTGAAAATCCGAATTTTGTTGGTGATGCTGAGTGACGAAGATTTCCAGATTGGTTTCAAGTTGATGAATTTGTTTCTTGCCTTCCCGATTCTCGATTTGACATCCTCGTCCGTTCCTCCTGTCGTTGAGACAATGCTCCCTAGATAAGTGAATGAAGTAACCTCTTTCAAATCCCTCCCGTTGATGGTGATTGACGCTGGATGTTGTTGTTGTTGTTGGTTGGTTATTTTCATAACCTCCGTCTTGTCTATGTTCACCTGGAGTCCTGTCTTCACCGGCTGCTTCTTCGACCAGTTTGTCGGTTTTCACTTGTAAGTCTTCGATTTTGTGTGACATCAAACATAAATGATCCGCGAAATCCAGGTCTTCTATGTTCTTCACGTCAGTCCAGGATATCCCTGACTGCTCGTTTCCCACTGTCTGACGCATAATCCAGATCACCATAATTAGGAATATCATTCATTGGTGGTAATAAGCACCCTTGTCTGACTCCTGTGTTTACTCCAAACGCCTCGCTGAGTCTTCCGTTGTGGATCACTGGACATGTGCCGTTGTCGTACAGCTGTTGAATAAGGTTGATGAATATTTGGGGTACGCCGTAGTACTCGAGTAGTTTCCAAATTACTTCACGATCAACGCTGTCGAAGGCCTTCTCAAAGTCTATAAAGTTGAGGTAGAGGTTTGATTGCCATTCCATGCTTTGTTCGATGATGATGCGTAGAGTTGCAATTTGGTCAGTACACGATTTGCCTGACTTTCCTGAATCCAGCTTGTTCTGGTCGGAGTTCTGTCTCCAGTGCGTCCTTTAATCTCTCCAGGATGATGCGACTCAGGATTTTACTTGGCGTCGATAGGAGCATGATTCCTCGCCAGTTCTTGCAGAGTGGGGCGTAAGTCGCCCTTTTTTAGTAGTTTCACGAGGTAACCTTTCCTCCAGTCAGTAGGCAGCTTTCCTTCCTTCCAGACCTTTTGCAATAATGGAGTCAGCATATCCGCTGTCATCTCTGGGTCCGCTTTCAGTGCTTCATGAGGTATTCCATCTGGTCCAGCTGCTTTTCCAGCTTCCAGAAGCTTGATTGCATTCAAGACCAGCTTTCGTTGGAGGACTGATGTCAACTTGCATTTGTGTTCGTGCTGTTGTTGGTATTTCTGGACGGGTTGCAGGTGGTGGTCGGTTCAAGAGTCCTTTCAAATGATCCGCCCATTGTTTAATCTGTCTTTCTGCCTTGGTAATTCGGTTCCTTTGCTGTCGTTTATAGGTTTCACTTGTGTTGATCTCTTCCCGGATAGAGACTTGGTTATGTGATATAGTGACCTCAGGTCCCTTTTGCCTGCTGCTTTTCGGCTTCAGTGGGTGAGTGAGTGAAATCAACCGAGTTTCCTTGACAGATATCCAATGCTATCTCTCTGTCACTAGTCTGAAACAAGGCAAAGCAGCAGGACCTGATTAAATTACTCCAGAGGTATTTAAGTGCGGTGGAGACAGTTTACTGTCTGCATTAACTGAGGTACTAGGCAGCGTCTGGGAATCATAAGAAGTCCAGTCGGGCTGGTGTAAAGTCATTGATTATCCCGATACACAAAACGGGAGACAAGTCTTCCTGTGATAATCACAAGGGGATTACCTTGACTAATATGGTATCTAAAGTTCTAGGCTCAATAATGATGTGTAGACAAAGCGGTGCTCAGGGAGAAACAAACACGAGAGAACCAGGCAGGCTTTAGACCAGGAAGGAGGTGTATCGAACATATATTCGCCCTTAAACAGATTCTGAGACATAGACATACTTACCGGCGTCCAACAATCGTTATATTTCTTGACCTAAAGGCGCCATTCGATTCCGTCGACCGATATGTACTATGGGAATTTCGAGAAAACATATCGCACTGATCAAGGCACTCTTCTTTAACTCATGCAGCCAGGTGAGAGCCTACGGAGAGTTGACAACTGTGATGACAACCAGTGGTTTCCGTCAAGGATTCCCAGTGTCCCCATTTCTGAATAATTTCACAATAGGTGTACCAATAGACTTAACCCTAACTCACTTCAGAGACTCAGGGATTGACTTGCTACCAGGGAATAGTCTTGTTGACTTAGAATATGCAGACGATATAGTCCTAGGCGAGGACTCTGACAAAATGCAGAGTCTTCTAAACACCTTGAGCTGCAATCTACGAATGTTTGGCATGCGATTTGCTCCTACTGTAAAATGTAAGATGATGTTACAGGACTGGACTACACCGACTCCTAGATTAAAAGTAGGAAGTGAAGTGGTAGAGCACATTGACCGCTTCACTTATTTTGGAAGTACCGTCAGCCAATGCCAACGGGTTGATCTCTGACGAAATCTCAGCACGGATGCAGGGGGCTCGTTTCGCATTTGCCAGTTTACGCCGACTCTGCCGTAGACGAGATGTTCGACTATCGACCAAAGGGCGGGTATACTGCTCATCAGTCCGCTTCGTCTTCCTTTATGGTTGTGAGACCTGGCCACTGAGAGTGGAAGACATGAAAATATTAGCTGTCTTTGATCAAAGGTGCCTGCGCTCTATTTCCCGTGTAAAGTGGCATAATAAGGTGAGCAACATTGAAGTTAGGCGTCGAGTTCTAGGTAAACAGGGGAAAACAATCGACGAAGTCGTGAAGTTACAAAGACTGAGATGCTTAGGACATGTGTTACGTGTGCCAAGCCATCGCCTCCCTCGACGAGCGATGTTAGCAGATATAGGGTCAGGTTGGAAAAAAGCTAGCGGCGGTCAAACCAAAACATGGTACCAGTCAATGAAATCTACAACAGTTGGTCTAAGCCACGTAGGAAGGTGTAGACTTCCAGGCTGGGGTCCTCGGGACGGTAAAAATCAATAGTCGGAAAGAATTTGTGATATGGTTCAAAATCGTTCTCAATTACAGTGGAAGGATTTAGTTCAAGGTCATTAGACGAAGACCATTTGCTACTTCCTGAGTACAGTCAAGCTGGGAGTTAACAGACATTGAAATAGTAAGACCGTCGGCATACTTGACAAAGTTCATTTCATCAGAGTGAGGCAAGTCATGCGAGAAGAAAGAAAACAGTAAAGGAGAAAGGACAGCGCCTTGAGGGACACCAGCCTCAGTAAGCAACGAAGTGAACTGCTTTCTTCAGTGTACTGTTTTCTTCCTGAGAAATAAGAATGGAGCCATTTGGCAACCCAACAGTCAGTTTGAGTATCATCAAGCTTGTTTAACAAAATGTCCCTAGGTACTGAGTCGAAAGCAGATGTGTAATATAGGAAGGTGCAGCGAAAAAATTTAGCCCCCTTATTTAAGCTGGAGACAATGTTATGATACAAGACTGTAGCTGCATCTAAAGTACATCTACTGTGTTTATAGGCGAATTGTTTGGGATCGTTAAAGGCTTCAAGTGAAGGTTGAAGAAGAGGTAATAGCAATAGATCTAAATTTAAAACATGTTCCAGTAGACGAATTAGGTATAGGTACAATTTTAATGTCCTCGCAAACGGCTGGCACGACATTTCTGGAAAAAGATTCATTAAATATGTCCATGAGAGGATAACACGGGATATCTGCACACTTTTTAAGAATAACACTGGGCAACCCATCTGGACCTAGGCTACAAGAAGGGTTCAGAGACTGGAGACATTTTAGAACATCATTTGTATTGAAACCAGGGAAGCAGGTCTCATTAATACTTGTAACACTAGAAAGTTTAGAATTTGTGGGAGAATGTATGAAAGACTTGTTTAGTGTGCAAAGATCAAGGGAACTAGGAATACTATTCATCTGCTTACCATCAGTAATTTCTTTAAAATGTTTCCACATATAAGGGGCATTTTTACAGGATATAAGCTTTTGGCTGTAAATTGAATTCAATCTGTGCATTTCAGACTTGATTAGGATGTTAATTCTTTTCAAGCCAGTATTATCCTTCATTTTATATGACTTTTCTTTTTGCCTGTGAAGCTTTTTAAGTTGAGTGAAAGAGAAACGCTCAAATCTGATGAAGAGCGTTTCTCTGGGACAACAGGTGTCAAGACAAAATTTGAGATAACGTGTAATATTAGAGATAGTGTCATCAAGAGAGTCTTCATTAAACAAGTCCCACCTGATGTCTTTGAGCATGCTCCTAAGATTCTGAACATTCTCCAAAAAGAGTAACATCCATGTACAATTTTCTTGGAAAGGTGTGAAAAAGTTATCTTGTGTAACTCTCCATAAATTTTGGGTAAAACCCGTACAATATAATGATTTGAGTTAAACAGTGGGGCTCTTTTGCGAACTTCGTATATTCCGCAGTCATTTATAAATACAAGATCAAGAGAAGTATCCAGTCTGGTGGGAAAGTTAACGACATTTTCATGACCTAGCACTGTAAGAAAGCTGCAGTCACAAGAATTAAAATCACCTGTCACTATGGACAATGAGTTTCCAAAAGAGGCGGCAGCGAAAATAGTGAATTCATCAGCAAGCATAGATATTTTTGAAGCGCTACAACAAGGTGTCACATAGATGTTCGTGATAAAAATGAAGTTGTACTTAGACAGGTGTTTAGGTCGACATTTGACAGTTATACAGTCAATATTATCAATTGAGAACTTAAAGCAGGCGTTGTTGGTAACATACCACTGAGAATTGATAAAAGTAGCAACACCACTACCTCGCGTCTTCCTTCAACTCCTTCGGTCTTGTCTGTACATATTGAAACCATTTATGGAGATTAAATTGTCATCATATGAATCGTGGAGCCGAAATTTCTTGAAGCGCTATTACACCTGTGTTACGGTAAATATTTAAACATAATAGAGCATCCGAGAAATTTATCTTGTTCGATAACGACCTGCAATTTGTGCTCATAATCACAGAAACAGCCATCTGATGCATTGGAGTACACTTTAAGGATCGTTGCCACCCACCATGATGCTTTTTCTTAAGGTTATTATAAACACGTAAATCATCAGGTTGAATAGATTTTAAATAATCGCGAGAGTAAGTAACACGATTTGGACACATAATTGAATAATTAAAACAAAATAAATCCAAGTAATCAGATGCAATATAAATGACTAAAAATTTTGGTAGCCCAAGGTCTAAGCGGGCCGCCGATTTACAGTTACATTCATCAATATGATATATATCGCACTAGCAAGTACCAGGAATTTTCACGAAAAATAGTATAGTGTGAATAAGTGACTTTTTGCTTCCTTAGTGTAGCATGCGATTTCTTTCCTGTCTTATTTTATTGAAAGGTATATTAGTGTACAATCTTCCTCACTGTACATCATTACTAAGAGCAAAGACGCTTGACTTCTAGTTATTTTAAATCGAATGCATAACTCGTTACTGCTTTAGCTAACCAAGAATTAATTATGAGGTTATCATTTTTACATCGTTAATGTTAACATTCCAGTATGGTATTCTTAGATAATAAATTTTACAATATTTCCCAGGGTTGTGGTGTAATCTACTTTTCTATAAATAGTTCAGGGTTAATTAAACCGAATGCCTATTTGGCAGTTACTAGGGCAAACTCTCCATGTCTTATGGTGCGAATTTAATGGTGAGTATGGAAGCACAATTCACTTTTGCAGGAATACCTTACGTTGCTACACACCATCAAAGTTATCCCTATTATAAAAAGTTGGAAAAAATGAATCTTCACTTCATTCCTTGTTTGGAGAGATAAAGAAGGCCATTCTCATTGTTTGCTTCTTTGTAGCAACTTCACAAGAAACTAAAAACATTCATAATGATTTTGTTTTACACTTAGTGTATTTATTAGTAACTGACTTTCTTAAAGCTATTTAGGAATTACAAAATCCCTTCCCACAAATGCAGATTAAAGGTTGGACAAGGTCGAATAGCTAGGAGTTATGTTCAATGCGGCTTGGGAATTATAAAATATGAAAGCGACATACAGAATGTTACTCTTTTAACACCTCTAAATTTTGTGACGTTTGTCAACTATGGCATATATAAACTGTTTGAGCTTTGGTTTATTCGTCTAAAGAACTATATACTAACACCTAAGTGGCGAATTTATACCTGTTTCCACTAGATTAGCGTAGTGTCTGAGTCTCTAACTGCAGCATTGGGACGCGGGTTCGAATCACCAGAGGGAAACCATTTCCTGCAGGGCTGCGGATAAGCATAATTGAAAAGTGCCACTGAACATATGACCCTAGGTTCAGGACTTCCTGTGGATTACTCTCAACCACCTTATACAAATTTTCAGAAAAGTGTTTAAAAATGTTGACTGTGCATTGATAATTATCACGATTATATGTTGCACTGTACACTTCCTCCAGATGGGAATAGTGACGATTTGATAGGTTGAAAATGTAAACTATTTCTATAGCCTTGTATGTGATAGTTGTAAGGCATTGCAATTTTTATTGTACCTACTTTGATTAAACGATAGACTAGTTTCTTTAATGAGGTACATTGTTACAGTATTTGTACAGTGTTTAATCACATCAATTTGTTTTACGATGGATTATGTCTGAACTATCATCGAGAAAACAGCATAAGTAATAAAGTCTAATGCGAAGTATTCTGAATGATTTTGATTTTCTGTGACTAGTTTACTGTACAAAAGGGTTTTAACCAAAACATTGCACCTTGTTCTAGTTTTACATACCTTAATCATTAGCTTATAGATATTGATTAATTTTAATTATTTTTGTTGTATGTTTAATGTTTGTTAAGTCGATAGATAGTAAAAGAAAATCCGATTGCGTCTGCTGACTATAATATAGACCTTAGTATATATCAGTGAATTTAGCCAACAAATCTAATTTTGTTGAGTCTTTAATTATTTTGATGGTTATTTATCTATTTTTCCGTGCTTAATGTCAGAAAAATGTGAGAAATTTTCATTTTTTTGTTAGCTTTCCTCAGTGATTATATCATGAGTAAAATGGATTTGACAAAGGTATTTCTCATGAAATATGTAATGATTTTTTTTGGTGCATATAAGTTTATGATCCTCTCAAAGTTGTTTCTGGCAAACCTAGCCTCAAACAGCTTTTGTATTGAAGCAAATTTCATTGTTGTTGTTTTCATTTAGATTCCAAACCCATTATTTGACTTAGCCGGAGTAACTTGTGGACACTTTTTAGTGCCATTTTGGTCCTTTTTCGGAGCAACATTTATTGGCAAAGCACTTATAAAGGTTCACTTACAACAATTAACCGTGATCGCACTAAGTTCAGAACACCATGTGGATAGCTTAGTGGACCTAATGGGGTAGGTAACATTTTTATTTGGTTTGGTTTCATTCAGTTATTTCTGTAACCGTCATCTCACATATATTGAATGAAAGCCAACTCTTTCGAGAAACACTCCGCATTGTTAATCAGGCAAATACAAAGGCCATTAATAAGTAACGTAAACATATTTTCGAAATCAGAACTTTATCTCTTTCCTCACTATTTGATTGAAGATGCTGCTTCATATCTCTTACACGTTACCTCAGTGTTGGCTACTTTTGCGTGCATTCTTATGAGCCTTTGAAATATATATCCCAAAAGACAAACAAATATACCAACATAGGACCCTGGACAGGGCGTAATTAAATATTCGAGATTAGTTATTAAGTTTGGAATTCGAGAATCATAAATTAAGATTGCATTAGCACTGTTGTTAATAATTGTAGGCCAGATCACTAAGAGTTTCGAGCCACTGAATCTTAATACCTCGAAAACTCAGTTAACTTGCATCTACTTACAAATCTCAAAGAGCCAGTCACTAACTTCTTGTGCGTCGGTGGCACAGTGGTTAGGGTTCTAGCCGACCATGCACGTGGTCCAGGGTTCGAGCCCTCGTCGACGCACACCTGATATCTGTTGTCGGCCTGCGAAATTTAGGCTACCGTTATCCACGCTGAAAATTCCATACTTGTACCAAAAATACAGTGTGAAATCAAGCTGTGATCAAAAATTTAAATTTAAAAAAATTTAAATTTAAAAATTTAATACCACAGTTCGGTTAGGTCGCCTGTGCTTCCACGGTGTAGATGACTGCTCACACATCTAGAAACAAACCTTTTCTGTCCATCATCTATCTTCATTTCCTTGATATCTTTCCACAGTTACTATTATTCCACATATGGCTTTTCCATATTATATTAACTCTGTGATCATTAGTAGCTTTATAGGTCGAAGAAACACTACTAATAGTCGTTTAAAACCACGCTGTTAACTTCAAATTGGAGCATGAAACTCTCTAACATTATCCCCAACAGAATAAAAGACATCTCAAGTTATGGATGTATGTTGTGTTTCGGGAACATGCATACCAGAACCTTGTGTAGCTATTCACTCAACTCTACCTAGCCGACAGGTTGAATTTACAAAATTAACCTTAGGAGTGTCAGGAGATTCTTTGGCTTGTTCACGTAAACTTGGTGTAGGAATAGCATCGAGCGCTAGGGTAGAAATCTCACTGCTCGGTTGGATTTCAGCGGACAGCCGTACAAGAGCTGAAGAGGTGCGTGAGAAGGAGGGGAGACTGTTACACCTGTCACTTCATTGTTTGTATACTGTGGTAGTTCATTGACTAATCCCTCAAGTGTGATGGGTGTTTCTAAAATAGGTGAAGCAATAGCACAGTTAGACATTGATATTCTTCGGTAATTTGGGAATCAATTTATTCCAGATCTGTAGTAAGATTATTTAGACAGTAGTTTAGCGTATGCTGAGTAAATTAAAACTTATACGTAGAACATTTAATAGCTTTTGCATTTGATTAACGTCTTCATTTTACACAGCTGTATTTCTAGCGTCTTTTATATCCGCAAACTTCTCCAAACAACAGGTCAAATACGTGGTAACGAGAGTCAACCCAGTCACCTTTATTAGCAAATGTAAATCAAAATTAAGTAAAGATGATGATATTGGACATCCATTGTGAAATCATTTGTTACCGTCCTTTTATTGAACTAATTTCTTAGGCGTCTACAATTACAGTTATTTCTATCTTTTGAAAACCTACTAGGGTGTTTTCATCAACATAAGCAATGAAATTTTCCAAATTTTTCACATAATTGCGACTACTTTCGGTGATATTTTGCAACACATTTCTGATCTATAATATTTTAAGAATTCACATTACTGTCCCCAGTACTTCCTACCAGTGGTAATTGCTGCCATGTGGGTATAATCTCATGTGTCAGATATGTTTCAGGCTCATACTATTAACTGTATCCACTGAAGGACTTTCGATCCTCTGATTATGTTGTGGCCCATGTGATACTACATCTGTTTCTGGAATTACACTTTTTTCTCAGTTCTCACTCATAACTAGTAATCTTTAACCGACATGGAATTTTTAAAAAGTTTTCTTGTTTTTCAGTGTTAGGAAACATGCTCAGTGTGTTCATGATGTGTAGGGAATTTCACTTACTTTCTTTTTGATCCAATATACTTCACTATAATGAATGGTATTTTGTGATGGTGACCTCACAACCCTTCCCCCAAGGGCTTGTTTTATCTTATACTGAAAAACCTGACAAATTGAAACGATATTGACCCCTAACTTGTTGGTTACGGATTTGGACGTTGTTTCGATAGAGCTAGGAGTGTTTACGTTTGAAATTTTGTTTTCACGCTTTATGTCTGCGGTTTTATTGCCGTTTTAAATTTTCAATACTAGGTTATTAATGCTTATTTCGATTTCGTGACATCAAAACGTAGGTTTAGTTTCTCGGGTTTTCCTACTCAAAATTCGTGTAACACCTCAATTTGTCGTTTGCCTGTTGTGTGCACTGTTCTGAACATATTGAATAGCTCTGCATATCCTATTGTTATTCATTTGATTGTTGATCTGAATCCCTTTGCATTTAGTAAGTTTTCGAGAGCGAAGTGACGTCATAGCTGTCGGGTTTGTATATCGTACATCTTAAATGCCCGACCGATAGCTGCTACCTTGACGTGGTGGTCGGGCTTGCACATCGTGATGACCCAACAAGCTGCACTGGCTGGAACCAATGTTCCTGCAGGTCCTACCATGTCAGGAAGGTTGTTAGGATAGCGATTAAACTAAAAGCGGTTACCGGCGTTGTGTAAGAATCTTTCTTACACTATGCTGGGGTCTGAGGGGGGGATCGTACTGCTGGGGATCAGGGGTGTAACAGCAGTGACCAGATGACCAGCATGCCAGCTATGCTGTCTCTCCACTCCAGAGAGAAGGAGTTAAAAGTGTTCGACCCCAAAAATTGTACATCCTGACTTATCCTACGGCGGTCCGTAACCGGACCTACTAATACGGAACCAATCCCAGAAACCAGTTCATACAGGCCGTGTGTGACCGGCTTCAAGCAGTTGTCCCCTGGGCTCTGCGGTCACGCAACACTATCTTCTTCAGGTTCCCGAAGAATCAATCAACTTCCAGGGTTTGGCGGCCGGGAAGTAACAACCGCCCACACACTTCCAAAAGCATACAAAGCCTTCCTGAGCATCATTCTCCTTTACTCACATCACCTTTCTCATCTTGCTTCTCTACTACAGTTAGTACTATTCTGCAAGCTAGTGAGTCATCTTCACTTCACTCTGTGACAACAAACAACGATGAGAGCCATAGAAACACCCCAGATAGCCTTTCAAAGCCACGTCGCCAACTTCATATAGGGGCATTTAACGTTAAGACCCTCTGCCAAATCGGACAACATGCATCGCTAGCAAGAACTCTGGCATCTCGAGCCATGGATGTATGTTGGGTTTCGGAGACACGCATACAAGACCCGAGTGTAATCATTCACTTAACCTCACCAGGTCAACAAGGTGAATCTGCAAAATTCACTTTAAGGGTGTCAGGAGAGGTAGCCTGGCACAACATACAATTAGCTGTAGACACAGCTGTAAAAGCTGCTAATAACCTGAAACCTGAAGTTAGTAAAAACCATTGGATCTCTACCGCCTCATCCGAACTGATTGATGCACGAAGACTGATTCCGGTGAGCTTCGATTATGATGAGGAGTGAAAGCTACTCAAATGCAAACTGAAAAGAAGTCTTCGCAACGACCGTGAACAGTGGTGGGCGACAAAGGTGAAAGAGATGGAGAAAGCATCGGCGATTGGAAACACCAGACAACTATTTAGACTTATCAGGGAAACAGTTGGTAAAAGGCGAATGATAAGTGAAACGATGTCTGAGAAGAATGGCACCATAATTAGCTCCCAGGATAAACGACTAGGACGTGGGAAAGAATGCTTTGAGGAGCAATTTAATTGGCCTAGGCTATGCTCAACCTGCCGAACATCCAACACCTCCCTGAATGGGATATAGACACAGGTCCTCCGTCCGTAACTGAGATTACTAAAGCTGTCACTAGTCTGAAACAAGGCAAAGCAGCAGGACCTGATTAAATGACTCCAGAGGTATTTAAGTGCGGTGGAGACAGTTTACTGTCTGCATTAACTGAGGTACTAGGCAGCGTCTGGGAATCATAAGAAGTCCAGTCGGGCTGGTGTAAATTCATTGATTATTGATGTTACGAGTTACTGGGACTGATGCACCGTCTTTTTCCGACTTTAGAATTCAACATTTCAGTTGGTTGGAAAATTGTTTCTTAATAATTTCGGTATTATTGGTATGGTAATTGAAAGTGGGTCGAACATACAATGGAGACTGACTTATAGTTTCACCAGTCTTTCAGGTCACTCATCTCTGTTGATATCACTTTTAAGCTGAATGAAAACGTCTAAAACACTATTCTTTTATGCAGTATACATCACACTCTCCATTACCGGATTCGCATGCATAGTTCTAAGTACAGATCTCATCTGATCGACGACCTCTTAATTACCAATCAGAGCTACACACTGGTGAATGAAACCCAAACAAATTATAAGGTTTTTATTTCAATTACTTTGTCATATGTGAGAGTGGTACATAATGTCGATTGATTGCGACCCCAGTGGTTTAATAACGTCTTCTCATGAACATGCTAGTCAAGATCCTTAATAAGTGAAATGAAATGTAGACCTAGCTGAACTTTCGTATTCATTCAAGAGAGTGCGACAATGATAATCTCGAGGCTTTCGAGATAGGAGTTTTTGTTTCAACTACAGTCGTTATTCCGTTACACCGAAAGTGCTTAAGTAGTGTTTAGAATATTATGAAGTATCTCTTACTAATGGGAGAAAGAGTGGTCCCAAGGTAACGACCACCAGAATGACCTTTAAAAACCAATCAAATGAGAGCTGAACTCATCCGGCATGTTGGTTGAAGTTTCGCTCGGTAAGTT